CACGTCAACATGAATGGACCTCAAACACATGCTGAGAAGAACGTAGACACAAAAGAGTATACATTTCATTATGGCATTTAGGTGAGATTCTTGAGAAAGCAAAATGACTCCATCAGAGCAGAGGCAGATCAGTGGTTGTCTGGAGCTGGAATGGAGAACTGTCTGCAAAGAGGCACCAGGACCCTGGTGTTCTAGGTCATGATTGCAGTGGTAACCATGAGGGTGTCTGGTATTTATTGAAATGCATCACTGGGCACAGTGGTTTACACCTGTAATCCTAGCTATAACGGAAGGCTGAGATGGGGAGGATTGCAGTTCAAAGCCTGCCTGGGGAAAGTTTGTGAGATTCTGTCTCGGCTAATAAACACCTGGGTTCAATAGAGTAGTCCTGTTATCCCAGCCACAAGATAAGCATAACTAGGAGGATTGCCATCCATGTTGGCCTGAGTAAAAAGCCAGACCCTATTTTAAAAGAATGAAAGTGCCTAGCTATTCAGGAGGCTGAGATCTGAGGATAGTGGTTCAAAGCCATCCCAGGGGGAAGTGCATCTGTGACTCAAGCAATAGGAGTGCTAGCCTTGAGCACAAAGCTCAGGGGAGAGTGCCCAGGCCCTGGGTTCAAGCCCCAGTTCCTTCGTGCGTGCACACACACACACACACACACACACACACACACACACACACACACACAGCTTGCCATGCACCGTGCCCTTGCACGCAGCAAGCAGCACGCTCGGCTGGCCGCTGTCTGTCAGGCTGGTTTCGCTGAGCCTTTGAACACCCACGCTTGTGGTCCAGCTCGGCCTGTGACTGACTGACCTGTCTGTGTACCGTCCACTTCGGAAACAGAAACTTCCCCGGTGGCATGAGAAAGAAAACACCAAACTAATCCTGAAAGGGTAACTTTAAACCAAAGCCCCACTGAGAAAGAGGGTGGGAGAGAGGCTGCCAGCTGAGGCCGGCCAGAAATAAAAGTCCCATTGTCCTGCAGGGTGATGGCAGCCTCCAGCTCCCACCCGCCTGCGGCCCGGGTTGCGCAGGCGCACACAGGCTTGCTTCTCCTGCCCTTGAGAGTGCATTCCAAAGCAGACAAGCTCCATCAAAACTGCAGCCCGCCGCCGCACGGCTCACACTGGAGGCAAGGCCGTGGCAGGGACAGGGAGGGCGTGACATGGAAAATCAGCTAGCACCAATGGGGTCCACAGCAAGTCTTCCAGAGCAACCACAACAAAAAGTTGCGTTTGGGAGTGGTATGTCCATGGAAGAAGCCAAGGGTGGGCTTAGATGGCAAGGAAGAAGACAGGTACCGGTGGCTCACATCTGTAATCCTAGCTTCTCAGGAGGCTGAGATCTGAGGATCATGGTTCACAGCTAGCCCAGAAGAAAAGCCTGAGAGAGGGGCTGGGAAGGTGGCTCAGTGGTTGAGCACTTGCCTTGCATGCCTGAGGCCCCGGGGTTCGATTCCTCAGCACTACATAAGCAAAAAGAAAAAAGCCGAAAGTGGTGCTGTGGCTCAAGTGGTAGAGCGCTAGCCTTGAGCTGAAGAGCTGAGGGACAGCGCCCAGGCCCAGAGTTCAGGCCCCACGACTGGACCTCCCCCCCCCCAAAAAAAAGAAAGCCTGAGAGACTCTTATCCCCAATTAATTACCAAACAAACAAAAACAGAAGTGGAGCTGTGGCTCAAATGGTAGAGTGCTAGCCTTGTACACAAGAGCTCAGGGACAGCCCCCAGGCCCTGAGTTCGAGTCCCAGGACCAGCAAAAAAGGAAATGAAAAAAAAAAAAAAAAGATAAGGGAGACAAGGTAAGATCAGGATTGCAATGCCAGGATTTCACATCTCAGTCAGTCAGCTGGGCATGGTGGTACATGCCTGTCTTCTAAGCTACTGAGGAGGCACAGATACGAGAGTGCAATACAGGACAGAAGACACAAGAGCCTCCTTTAAAAATAATTGAGGCAGAGAAAGGGGCATGGCTCAAGTGGTGAGCACATTCCTAGCTTTGGGCTAAAACCATAGTATTATAAGAAAATAAAATAACAACAGGGTAGGCAGGACCAGGAAGTCAAGGGAGGCATTTCAGCTTAACTGGAACACAATCCACATTCGGGACAGAGCCCAGGTTCTAGAGATTTTAGTGCCTGCAGGTAAACTTCCACACTGGGGACACGGGCTACTTAATTACCTGTTTCCTTAATAAAAATGCCTTAAGAGGATGAAAAGCACAAAGGTAAAGGGTTTTTTAAATTTGTTTTTGTTTTTCTTTTTTATGCGAGTACTAGGCTTAAACTCAGAGCCTAGATGCTGCCCCTTAGCTTTTCTGTTCAAGGCTGGCCCTCTACTACTTGAGCCATAATTCCTCTTCTGGCTTTTGGGTAGCTAATTAGATATAAGAGTCTCCCAGACTTTGCTGCTCAGGCTGTGGCTTCTAACTATGATCCTCAGATCTCAGCCTCTTGAATAGCTAGGATTAAAGTCTGCTGGCCATAGCCAGCAGAGGCTGAGATGAATCGGGAACCATGAACTTGCTTGCACTCTAACACCAGTTTGATCAGGTCCTGCCTTTGCCATCCCTTCTAGATCTGTTGTCCTGAGTGGCTCTGAGCATAGGTCCAAACAAGGAGGTCTGCTTGCTCTCCTTTGAGCCAATGACAGCCAGCTATATAGCATACATTTAGGTATGCAACAATGCTGTGTATTCCTAGAGCATCAGACAACAACAGACAACCGTTGACAATTATCTAGTTCAACCCTCTCATTTGCTCAATTAAAGCCAAGGCTCAGAGAGACTAAATAAGCCATCTGAGGTCACACAGCTAATATGTACCAGAACCTAGCTCTTCTGACTTGGAACCCAAGTGATTTTTTTCCCCTAAGCCGCTCTGTCTTAAGAACGAGGAAGCATAAATAAGGAATCTGAGGTGTTTACTAGGTCCTTATATATACTCTTCGTAACCCTTCATTACGGAGGAGGAAGAGCTCAGCTGTTTTAATTGCCACCTGCAAAAGCACTCGGTGATCCCTTACGGTTACATTTTTGAGGCCCTATGGAAGACCGCCTGAGATCTGAGGCAAATTGAGAAGGCAGGATGGCCTAATAAAAGCTTTTTATTTGTAGATGCTTATTAAGTGCTCTGTGCTCAGGCTGTTGAGCTTTAGAGTGACTTTGGGATTGCCGCTTTAATGCTTCAGTGAGCAGAAAATTGGAGAGCAAGAGCGTCAATCATGCGATTCTGCCAAGCAGCACCCCCTCCCGCGTAAGCAAATGTCATATGTTACATATTACAAAGCTACCTCAGCTCAACTCGTGGTGCTGTAGGTTTGGGGGAACCTGAACTATGCTGATCTGGTATTACCTGAGCCTCTGACCCTCTATGTTTGTTTGTCATTTGTTTTATTAGATGGTGTGTGTATGTGTGTGTGTGTGTGTGTGTGTGTGTGTGTGTGTGTGTGTGGTAGTACTGTGGTTTGAATTCAGGGCCTTGTGCTTGCTAGGTAGATGCTCTTACTACTTGAGCCACATCTCCAGCCATTTAAATTGTTACAATTATTTTTGAAATAGGTTTATTGCTTTTACTCTCAGACTGGCTGATACACTCTTATTTATCTTTCCTGTTTCGCTGGGATGCTGAGTGCATACCACCATGCCCAGCTTTTTATTAGTTGGGATGGTGTCTCGTGAGAACTTTTTGCCTAGGCTGGCTTTCAATCATACTCCTCCCTGTGTCCACCTCCTGAGTAGCTAGGATTGCAGGCATGAGCCACCACACTCAGCTCTACATAGTTCTTTAAACCGTAATTTCAATGTGACAGGCACCTAATCAGATGCTGCTCCTAAATTCCATACTGTGCACTGCTGGGAGGATGGCAACAGTTCACTATTGCTCTCTAGGCCCTCAGAACAGTAACCAGACAGGATTAAGATTCAGCCAGGAAATTAGTGAAATGCAAATTGCATGGTGGTGGCCGCAGGGCAAGAGGAAAATTGCAGGCCATCGCCTAAAGAGAGAGAAATAGTAGGGTGGTATTTTAGAACCTGGCAACAGAGAGCCACCAAGCATACTTGGCATTGCCTTAAAAACACAACAGTGGCAACCTTGTCTCCCCCCCCCCCCCCCCCCCCCCCCCCCAGCACACAGAGAAGTGCCCCAATCTTAGACTCAATGTTACTAACATGCCCTATAACTCTCACCTAGGTCATTACAGAGAGCGCCCTCTTGTGTCCACTTCCAGTCACCCCACCCAGCCAGAGGGAACTGCTATGCAGCCCACTCTGTTCTTAATGGCCAAGTGGCAACCCAGGGGGAGTTTGTCCAGATTCTTCCATCCACTCAGTTGCTGAAAGCTGAGTCTAGCAGCCTGCAGGCTTACCCAGCAGCCCCTCTGGTGTACAAGACCCTCAGCAGGCTCAACTTGGAAGAAGAGAAGTTGGCAGCTCCTGGAGGAGGGAGAGGAGACGAAGAGACAGACTACCCATGGCAGAGAAGTTGGGGTGGGAGGGGGAATATGGGGAGGGGGAGGAGATAAGACACAAAGTCTCCTAGAGTATCAAGGTTCTTGGTCAAGTTTTAAGTGTTGGGCTGTTCCCAAAGGGTTTCTTCTGTTTCTTTTTTGGTGTTTTGTGGGTTTTCTCTCATTGTAGGCTCTCTGAGTTTTTCCTTATAGTGGTCAACCATCCTGGGGGAGGAGTATAGATTGTTTTGCTCCATGGGTTTCCTTCCTGTTAGATGACAAAGTCAGGCCTTGAAGGCCTGGCAGCTTCAACACTGAGTTCGGTGGTCAGGAGCCACGACTGGTTTTGCTTAGTTTGCCACCTGGCTGCGGTGACTGTCTTACCCTGAGTTCGACACTGTTTCAGAGAATACTTAAGCAGGTTTTAAATAGATTTCCTATTCTAGCTCTGACTTTGGATTGGGCTTTCCTCCAGCATATAATGTTGTGTGGATGTGTGTGGATGTGGGTGGGAGCCCCATTTCAATCTGGGCATCAAAAATAACACCCAGTGTTCGCTTTGGCAGCACATAGACTGAAATTGGAAGGGTACAGAGAAGGCTATCGTGGCCTGTGTGCAAAGGATGACAGGAAAATTCATGAAGCATTGCTCATTTTTAAAAATAAAATGAATCGCAGCCAGAATCCTTTTGTTTCCTGTGGGGCAGTGAGGAGATGCTTGCAGCGTTAGCAGAGATGTTTCCCAATCCTAACTGCATCCTTGGCTCACCCCCATTCACTTCTCACCCCACTGTGGTCCCCTGATCCCAACACGTTCCTCTTGCTGAGGCCACACAACATGTCTTAGATGTCAAATCCAATGCAGACCTTTCAGTCCTAATCTATGGGGGGGGGGGGGGGGGGGAATGGGGAGGTTTCAACTTGGGCCTCTAGCTTGTTAGACAAGTTTGTTTTTTTATACCACGTGGGCCATACCTCCAACTCTTTTTTTAGTTTAGTTTTAGATAGGTTCTTGTGCTTTTGCCCAGCCAGCTCCCAACAACAATCATCCTATATCTATCTCCAAAGTAGTTGGGATCACAGGTGTGCACCAGTATGCCCATCTTCTTTGTTGAGTTTGGATCTCAATAACTGTTTGCCCCAGCTGGCCTAGAACTGTGATCCTCCTATCTCTGGATTCCAAGTAGCTGGGATTATAGACATGTTACACCATGCCTGGCCCTTAGTCCTAATCTTAAATCAGTATCTCGATGGAGCTGGTGCTGTTGACCCCGCTGGCCATCAAGACATTCTTTTCTCTCCTGATTGCCAGGAGACCATTCCCCCAGGTCTTCCTTTTGCATCCCAAGTTCCTCTGATTGAGTCTTTTGCAGTGTTTATCTCATGGACATTAGACTCCTAGGTTCTGTCTCACCTACCATTGACTCTTTCTTTCCCTAGGCAGTCACATGAGTCCACATGGTGTCTGCCTCAGATCTGAGTCTCCAGATCTATTTGTGTCCTGAGAGCTCCAGGCTGACCAGTAGCCTCTCTGTGACCTCTTTATGTACACTTATAGGAATTTCTCACAACCCTAGCTGCATAGAATCATAGAAGCTTTTGGAAAACATCTGTGTGTGGCCATTCTACCTGAGCTCTTGATGGTTTGAAAGTTATGTACATTCAGCAGAAACTGTATTTGGTATTTTGATCATTTCCCCCAGGTTAACATTACACAGTATTGTTACTCTCTTGGGATGCTGGGCTTTGGCAGCCAGCTGCAGCTCTCAGTCAGCTCACAAGGGAAAACAACTGATGTGCTGTAGTGCATGGTGTTGCTGAGCCTGGATACTGAGTAGGCTAGGTATAGTCAGGGGCATCCATATTTTTAATAGCCCAAGTTATTCTCATGAATTGTCAGAGAATAGGACAATTAGGCATAGAGACACATATGCAGAGAGGTGAACTGCTCTAGATGGGAACCCCTGTCCATTTTACATGCCTATGCTGGGCCCCCATTCAGGACCATAAATTATGATGCTGGCCCTTACATGTTCAAGGCAACTTTTCTTCATGCTGGTACTAGGGCTTGAACTCAGGGCCTCACATTCTTGCTCAGCATTTTCTTTTTGCTCAAAGCCGGTGCTTTATCATTGGAGATATACCTCCACTTCTGGCATTTTGCTGGTTAATTGCTAAGATAAGAAGCTCTCAGATTTGTCTGACCAGGCTGGCTGTGGACCATGATCCTCAAATCTCAGCCTCCCAAGTAGTTAGGATCACAGGTATCAGTTGCCAGTGCCTGGCTTCAAAGCTTCAGAGGCATTAGCAATGGATCTGTGGCTCACTGGGAATCAGGATGAGGAAAACTACTGAGGATGTAAGGAAAGCCTGATTCAGAAGACTGGATTCCTACCACAATTACCACCACACACACTTTTCAAACACAGACATATCTTTAAGAAGAGAATAGGGCTAGGGAATTTCCAAGACCATGGACTGCTTCCCATATTCCATCAAACACTTCTATCTTCTCCAAATATTCTAAAGTTCTCTAATTACAGAATGACCTGTGAGACATGGACAGAGGGGTTAAATCATCGATCAGGATAGTCTCATAAACTACTGGGGGGTCAGAACAATTCCTGCTTTAGAGGAAGTATGAAAAGCCAACAGAGACCACAAAGATGCTGAAACATTGTCATTTGTGTTTCTAATTTGGATCTAACATATTCACAGCATGAACCAAAATAATCATAAGCTATACAGCCAGAAGCATCCTTAAAGATCATCCTATCCAATCACTATTTTACATGAGATGGAAAAGGCTAAGGGACCTAAACAAGATCATACCACCAGCCAGTGGCCTGACTGAGCAGATTTTCAATTTCCCAATTCCTGGTCTAGTGCTCATTTCACAACTCCAAGCTATCCTAAGGGATGACACTGAACCTATGTGACTGGCCACATATCTATTTTCAAACAATAGACCTAGGGAACTATCTGGGGGCACAGGATCATCTAGCAACTTACCTTCCCCAAGGAAACCAAAGCCACTCTGACTCCTCTGTATTCATGACCCTAAATGTAGGTGGTTCTTTGCCCAAGGCTGAGACTTTGGGTGGCCTCCCTACATCTCCCTGCTATGTCCTCAGGGTGTTTCCCAGTAGGATGAAATCTAGGGGGTGACAGCTATAAGGTCTCAGCCTAAAGAGGCTAAATAAATACCTGCTCTCTCGCATCAGGCTAACTTGGACTTACCTCTGGGCTAACCTTGGACCAAATACAGATCTTCATTAAGCCCCAACCTAGGAAACGATCATCACCAAAGTGTCACTAGGTAAATTGTGAGGATTGGGACAATTTCCCTAAAGCCATCCACCATGTCTGGAGTGCAGTAATGGTAATGCCCCCTCGCACCAGAACTGGATAGCCCTCCAAAGAGGACTTCTGTCTTTTATATTTTTCTGGAAGGATTTTCTCTCCATCACATTTTTTGCTCTCTGCTGCTGCCCAGAGATCCTATGCTGAGTTTTCTCACAATTGTGGGTTCTGAAAGATCAGGAGGGAGACTGGAAGGGATTTACTGTCTGGTGACTGACACCAGATCCATTCCAGTAGACCGGGGCACATGTTGGCTGGGTCTACCAAATGTGGTACCCTGGTGCTACCTTCCTCCCGTGATAGGGAACTGGCATTACTATTCCTGAAGAGTTGCTGGGCACTGTGCTAAGATAGCTGGATGGTGTCTAATAAGGATGAGCACCACTGCGCTGCTCATTAATAGCTAGAAAGAGAAAACGAGACAGAGCTGGCCCAGTCCATAAGCGGTGCCCATAAATGGGAGCAGACCTCTACTGATGCGGCCTTCCGGAGATGCAGGAGATCCAGATAGTGGCAACCACAGTCTCCCCTGATCTTACCCACACACCGAAGACCCAACCTCCAAAAATGGCCCCTCCTGGCCAATTTCTGGGACCCTTCTCCATCTTGTCCATCACATAGCTCTGCTGTGACTGAGAGCTTGTGGTACAGAGAAATCGCACACTGAAGAGTGGTACCGGGGCATGGACTACAGTGGCATGTTGTGACTCGCCTCCCTGCAATGCGCGGCTCTGCCACCGGAGGCGCACTGCGTAGTCTGCAAAGCCGGGGTCGCCAGCTCTTAGTCTGGGAGGAAAAGAGCGATCACCGGCGCGTGGAGGCAGCTGCGCCCCCAGCCTCCCACCGCCAGGCCAGGCCTCCTCTCCAGTCCTCTCTCAATCTGGCAGTTTAGATCCCCTAAGCTCCTGCGTCTCCTCGAAGGTACAGAGAGTCATGAGGCGATCCCAAGAAGACTGACACCTCCTTGACGTTTCCTTTGATGCTGCCACGCAGAGGAAATAGCTCAGGGCTGGACCAAGCCACTCACCAAGTGCCCTGGCTCTCAGGCAGAGCATGCAGTCCAAGCTTGGACTTCTATAGCACCGCGGGATATTCTCTGTGCCTTGCGGGTGGCTCAGCAGGTGAAGTCATGATGACACGGATCCTAGGTTCCTGTCTGACTCCTCGGCACACTGGAGCTTCAGATAAACCTCAGTTTCTCCGATTTTGCACTCCCTGTAGATAGTATAAAGACCTCAAATCCATTATGGACCTTTATTGCCATGTTACCTGGTACGGATTAGGTCATCTCTGGGTGCTTCGATTGCTCCTGGAAATGGTGATCAAAATATTCCTACCCACAGGCAAACCAGAGGGGAATAGTTGAATGTAAAACACCTCAGTTCCAGAGCATGTAATAAACAGGGTGGACATGCTTGATGCTATTAATAAAGTGTTTCCAAATTTTCCCTGCAGTTGTTGCAGGGAACTAAGCGAGACAGGTAAGATTGCCGTTATTATTCAAGAGGAGGACAACTAATGTTTATTGATGTTGCTGTTGATCTAGAGGAATCAGAGCCTTGGAGCTATTCGCGAGGGAAGAGCTAAACATACTAGGTACTAGTGCTTCCTACTCAAAATGACTCCTCAGTTGGTGCCCAGTGGTAATTTTCTTGGGGTTTTGAAAGGGTCTTGAGGTTGGAGACGATCACAGCTCTTTTGTTTGCAGGAGGGCAGTGAGTAAATTGCATCCTGGGCTTAGAAAAGCACAAAATAAACACATTCCCAGTAGGACTCTTTGGATGAACTGTTTTATTTCACTTTTGGTCGTTGATGGTCCATTGCAGACTAATGTGATGCTCATGTGTCTTAATATTAATGGTTCAGAGCTAAAGGCCACCTTTTGCCTCATACTGTAGGAGACTGGGCAAAGTTAGGAGGGACCCGGGCCCAAGTAAAGGCCAGAAAAGATGCCTATTGTCACTTTCTCTCCTGTCTCCCAATACCTCACATTGGAGTCCCTGGGGAAACATCTACCAGAATGTGTTTGAATTTAAACATCACTGTTTCTGCAATCATAATTTTCTGCTTGAACAAAAATCATGTCCTCTTGCACAGAGTGTGCTTCTTTGCTGTGGTCAGGGTGGTGGTGTTTAACCCTTCATGCATGCATAAAGTGTGGCTAGACCAGCCACTCCCATTTCAAACCACCCTTACCTAGGGCACCTGCCTTGAAATATTAAAGACCTTCCGAGGGTATGGGTTGGGGAGGGGGGGTCAAGGAGGCAGTGACAGCGATTTCATAAAAACTCTCCA